AAATGTAAACAGTGCGAGAGAAAGAACATGGTGCAAAAACACGCATTGATATGGAAGTTCAGAGCATTAAATATGTATGGTGCAAACATGCAGAATTTATGATTGGTGTTATCAGTGTGATCTGGAGTCAGTGACATGATTTAGAGTTTTCATAACAGTTCAGCTGTCTGATGGCGGTGGGGAAGAAGCTGTTTCTGTGCGCTGAAGTTGAACTTTTGTCACTTTTAGGATGGAACCAACCTGAGAAAGTAATCTTCCTGTGATCGGCTATTTTTCACTAAATGCCGTTCTCTTCGTGGTTCTGGCTAGTAACGTTAGCAGAGCATCTTTAGGCTAATAGATGTTAATGATCTTGAAAAGTGTTATATGTGTGCACAAAGAATGTTTCAAAATTCATGTGGAGTTTTGTTTACGTGTGTGTTTAATAGAACACATTTTCAGTATTAGTTTTACTGAAATAAGTAGCTTAGTAGTACTTACAGTAGTGCTTCCATCTACTGAAGATGTAAGTATTTAGACTCTTCTTTGTTTCTAAAAACTTCCTCTAAGCTAAACACTGGGGCTAATATTTTATTTTAAAATGTGACTCTGGTAGGAAATTAACCCACAACTTTTAAGTCAGGCATTCTCAAAGTCACTCCTTAAGGGCCGCTGTCCTGCAGGTTTTAGAGGTTTCTCATCTCCAGCACACCTGATTTACATTGATAGTTTATCAACCGCTTTTGCTGAACTGCAATTATCAGAATCAGCTGTGCTAAAGCAGAGAAACCTCTAAACCTGCAGGACAGCGTCCCTCAAGGACCGACTTTGAGGATGCTTGCTTTAAGTCAAACCCTATGTTTCATATTGGCGGTCCAATGCTTTTTCATTGGGGCAAATAACACCATCTTCCACTAAGCCTTTGTGATGCCCTACAGAATAGTAACATGGATCCCTTTAACTAATCAATGCATTTATCCATTCATCTGTTCAAAATAAACAGAATAATAATCAGATTAATTCAGGAGTACCTGATTATTGTGTTTTTTTTAAACTGGTTATCAGATTAACCTTTTAGTTTTAAGTATATCAATTAAGTTTAATAAGTAGCAACAAGCTCTCTTCTGGCTAAGTGTTGTGGTTCCAAACTCAGTGTGGAACAAAGTGTGAAATACTTTAAACCAGTTAAATGGTTGGTTTATAGCCTCTTGGCAGCAGTGACTTATATTCCTGTAAGAACCTGTCGTTTTGTTCTGAACTGGTGCACGTTCCAGTAACAAAGAGTCTGGAAAAATGCTCTCATTAAACATTGTATGGAAATTCCTCCTGCCAGGAAGTCTGGATTAGTTTCTCCGGCTTTGTGTGCAGGAGCTGTGCCTGCAGTCAGGGCAGGTGTAACGATGTCTGAGAGTCGGTGGACCTTTGGACTGTGTTGTTTTAAAAGCACATCCTTCTAGTTTCCAGAGGTGTCATTTAAACTGTATAGTAAAGAAGCACAACATCAACAGTTCTGTTAGCCGGAGGTGATGTGGTGCTCTGCTGCACACGCTTCCTGTTTACAATGACAGATGGCAACTCTGACTTCTTCTTTTCATTGATTGGAAATAGGCTTCTGTCTAACAGGTCTTTGTTGCCTTTTTCCGCTCCCTTTCATCTTCCCCGAGGTTGCCTAGGATACTGGCAGGTAAATAGAGTTGAACCTATTAGAAACAATGTCAGTTGTTGATGAGTTGTTTAGATCCATGACCCAGAGAGTCTGGATGTTCCTCTGTGGGAGTCAGTTGAAGAGTGCTTGGGTGCTTGCAAAAACAATCTTTGCTAGCGCCATTTAGCAGATGCTGTCTGTTTTACTAGACTGTTTAAAAACATCTTAAAGGGGTGACAGAATGGTTATATAGGGTATTTTTTGCTGGTCCTTAATGTCTCTGAATAGGGTGTGTAACCAGGCATATTTGCTGTTCTATGAGCCCTAATGCAAGCCTAGTTAAATGCCCTAGAATCATGGGCGTAGGTTTGCATAGGGACCATAGGGACATGTCCCTACCAAAGTTTTGAACCGTCCTAATTGTCCCGACCAATAATTGGATGTGAGCAACATGTTTATAATTTACAGCAGTGGCTCTTTTCCTCTCGCAGCTCCTCTGCCTGGTCTCTCCTGTCCCTTTCACCTAGCAGCGCATTGAACTGTGCTGCGCTGTTTAACTCCACTCTCATTGGCTGTTCTGCCTTAGGTCCCGCCTTCTCTCTTTCTGATTGGCTGTTTTCTAGTCCGCTGTGCTTGGAGCACAACATTGAAAATTTATTCACACTAGAATGCAGCGGTTACTACAATTAATATTAGACTATGAAACTAGTCCCAATAAAAAAAATGAATATCATGTACACTAAAAAACAAAAACCTTTTTTTTTCTTTTATAAAACGAAATATTCTGAGTCAGCCAGGAGTTCTGAAGACACAAAATGGGCAAATAAAGGCTGTAAGCCATCAACATTTCTGATTCTTAGCCACAGCCACCTAAAAAAGAAAATGTGACGGTTTCCTTTTTACCAATATTTAGTTGCTGTTACTGGTTTCATTTTTTGATGACTCTGAGGAAGTTCAGGTATAATTATTAGCAGGTGTTATTTCTCTTATAGAGGAAAACAACAAGAAATGGCAGCTAAACATCTGCTGTTTATCGTTTAAAAAGCATAATTAGGGTTCCAAATAATAATAATAATTTAATTGACTATTTATACTTCTAGAAATAGGATAAAGAGAAGAACAAACAGATGAAGAATATTAACATTGATTTTATCTTACATAGATTTCCACACAGTCTATAAGTAAATTAGTACAAACATTAATGTCTGGTAAAAATGCTGGAATCTGACTGTTTATTTTGGATATTATTAAATTACAGATAAGATAGTGTTATATTGTCTTTTATAATTGTTAAAAGTGATTTTATATTTTAATACTCTTAGGCTCATTCTCAGTGTTGTGTTTGTAGATGATGCCACTAAAAAGAAAATATACATAAGGAGCTATTTATACAGTCAGACAGTAGCAATATAGGACAATGATAAAAGGTTGTGTTACATTTAATCCTTTACTATTAAAAATGCACTTATACATTATATGATTATAGGAAACACAGATATCCAGTAATAATGGTGCAGGGCAGCTTGTAGGTGAAGCAGCTGCCATTCAGTGCTTCAGGTGATGTCTAAATAAACCAGGTGAAACTAAAATATTTCCACATGAGGAGTTCTGGTTGGAGAATTTTGATTATATATATGTATTGTAGTTTTACAATTTTGGTATAATTACTGATCTAAGTGGGTTGCTCTGTTGGAAAAAGACACATTTTACATTTATATTATGTTTTAGAGTCTTTATACTCCAGTTAATGATGAATCAATTATTAAATTAGTTGACGATTATTGAAATAATCAATTAATGCTTCAAACATTGATAAACAGCATCTAATGAGTGTAGTGTTTTTTTTATTTAATTTTTATTAATGTAGCAAAATTATGCTTTTCTCTTTTAACATTGAATTCCTCTTATCAGTACGGATGCTCACATCGAGCATAAAAAAGGGCGTGCATATTGCATTGCACCAATGACACCCGACCAATCGTGTCCCTACCAAAGTTAAAATCAAACCTAAGCCCTTGCCTAGAATGAAACGACAGGTTTTTCTTCCTTTTATGGTATGCTCATGAATATTTAGATGAGCTGTGCGCTGATTGGTTGGTTTACAAGCTGCTGAGCAAAGACGCATCATAGCAACAAGCACTCACTCACTGAAACATAAAATTTTTCACATGGTAGGGTGACCAGACGTCCTCTTTTTCCCAGACACGTCCTACTTTTTATACCTAAAAAAATGTCTGGGGGGAATTTCAAATCATCCGGGATTTTGGTCGACTACAGTTCAGCATGTATTCGAAGCACACCATATACTCGTACCGAGTACCCATCAACTCAATGCTTCGTTTGGATTCACTAGTTTTATGGTGGAAGTTTAGAATTATGAAATTTGCAGAGAAAGGAGGTGTTGATGGGGTTTGAACTTCTCTGCACGTCCATTTAACCCACTAAACTATCGTCTATGACAATGTAAACTCGGTTTTGCATTCTATGACCCCTTTAAGCATTATAGTGTTAACTATAGGTGTTGAAAATAATGTCCTGGTTTCTAAAAGCTTGTTTCTCAAGGTTTGACTCCCTCACAAAACAATGTTCTTCAAGCTTTAGAAAACTGTCGAATTTCTTTTAGTTTTCAAACAAAGATCCTGTCATAATTGTTTATTGGTTATAATACAAGTTCTCTGGCTATTATTAAGCAGATAATACCATAAAGCTTAACATTTCAAACTCCCTTTTGTTGCCAAATCACTGAAGTGATCCATGAACTAGAATGTCATCAGTCAAAGGTGATGCTTTTAATATTAACTTTTAATGTTAATCCAGCTTTTTTTTTTTTTAACACTGGATTACATTCCAGTTAATGGATTTTTTAACATTGGATTTCTGTTAAATATTTATTAAACAGTCTGAGCTCTTTGGATAAAAAGTGTTCACCATGGTCTAGTATGTGGTTTTATTTCTTTTTGGTTTAGTCAATATGCAGATTTCACATGATGTAGATGATACTGTGATTTATTTTGCTTGCAGGGAGATTCATTTTAGCATCACAACTCTCTTCTTTCTTTTTATATCAAAGAGTTATTATATGGTGCAAGACCATGAGCCATCAATTGACAATTCAAAGAAAACAATTGTAGTTAGATTCAGTATTTTACAGAAAACCTCTGACTTGATTTTGAGAGCGATGAATAACTTAGTAACATTTGGAGATTTTTGGTAGAATTTTAGGTTACATACATATCATATATATCCCATATTTAATCATTTAACTTTTTACACATGGTTAAATCTACTTTTACAAAAAGGTGAAATATTGTACTATTTAAGAATAAGACGTCAGTATTCTTGATGGACTGACTGTTGTCTCTGTGTCTCCACGCAGCCACCAAGCGTCCCTCCTCAGTCTCGTCTCTGAGTGGGATTGTAGGTAGGATGATGTCAGCTGGCGAGCGAGCAGCATCTTCGTCCTCCTGCACGTCTGTCAACACCTTTTGTTCGGACAACGAGCGTCCCGTCTCCCTCTCCTCCTCCACCTCCTCGGTCTCTCTGCAGGATGCGTCCCACTCCTCTTCTTCTTCCTCCTCCTCCTCCTCACTTCCGTATGGTGCGGTTCCAGCCTACAACGCCTCATTATCATCGTCAACATCCTCCACTCCAAAACGCAACGGCTCTGACATCAGCCTGGACCTCACACCACTAGTAACTCTGCACACTGTAGCGCCTCCGACGGGTGGAGGAGGGGTTCCCAAGATGACGGCAACAAGCCCCGCCCCTAATGGACATATAACCAATCCGGTTGCAGCGATGTTGGCAGGGGCCATACCCAGGCAGCTTTCAAGGCTGGAGAGAGTTATTCTGGAGATCGTGGAGACGGAGCAGACCTACGTCAGAGATTTAAAAAGCATCGTGGAGGTAAGAGCCAAACCACTACTTCCAGTGATGAATTAAATTTGAATTTGTCCTGTAAAACATGGGGTTAGGATTATGGGACCCACTTCCTGATGGATTAATATAACAAACTAGAGGATGTTTGTTTAAAGGAAGAACCAGGGCCACAGACCCACAACATGCTAGCAAGATCCCACAGCACCACCAAGATACAGAGACTGGACTTTAAGCCTCAACTAGTAGTCGCTATTTGAATACTAAAGAAATCCTTTAAATAATCTGCTTTCCAACTGAAAACCCAGGTTTTCAAAACCGGGTTGACCCGCTAACCATAGGCTTTTAGCTCTTTTTCCATTTGACCGAAAAACTGAGTCTGACCACCTGTCATGATTTTATTAAAAGATCTGACCCACATGCACATGAAAACCAAACAGAGAGACCAGGGGAAGGTTTAACAAGTTTATTGAGAACTGGTAGAGATGGGTCCAGTGCTGCTCTGAACACTGGTGAACCAGGACTGAAAAATGAAGGGGAAGTTCATGTGGTTAGTTCAGGCTCAGTGGGAAATTTGAGCTTTGATTTGCAAAAGGGAATAAAGGCAAAAGGACTCACTTTTCCAGAAAAGGTGTCTTTCTCTAAATCCAGTCGGTGAGGGTTGTTCCAGTTATTGACTTGCTCGTTGGAGGGTGGACAGGGTTTACCCAGGTTGATGTGTTTCCTTGAGGAACGGAGGAGCTGACTGCCAATTAGATTTCCAATGGTACTTGAACGGTTTCTTGTGGAGGTGAATCCCTTGCTCAGTGAGAAGCTCAAACAATCCCTTGGGGATTCAAACTGGAGGTTTGAATCCCCAGCTCAGTTTGAAGCTCAGTTGATCCTTCCAGGGAGAGAAGGTCCAAAACATCCAGTTTGCAGGATGACTTCATGCCGAGAGGCAAAGACAAAAACAACAAGGTTAAGACTCAGGTTGACAAAAACTCAGTTTGACTCAGCTCTCTTGGCTTGGCTAGAGTACCCAAAACTGGCAAACACTCTTGCGTCGAGGTAATGGCAGTCAGCAGCTTAAGAGTCCTCAGGTAATGAGGCAACCATCCGCAGGTGTGTGTGAGGACCAACGAGAACCACTGCCTGGTGGAGGGAAGACAAACAAAAACACAACCCCCCAAAACTGGATTCTTAACACCCCCTGCTGGCGAGCTACATGGCCACTGTCCCCCTCCCCTGCTTGTCTGATGACAGCATCACGCTGGGTGGGTGTTCTCAATTCGACAGTGTGACAAAAATCAGGGAAGTAGATAATGGAGAGCAACATGGACAGAATCCATGGCTTAGTCAGTATTCTTTATTATTTTTGCTCTTTTATCCGCCTGAATCTCTTTTACTTTTTCAAATGTAAACAGAGTTGATTCAGCTTGTTAATGCAGAAGCGACTGGTGCAGTCTGTTGACGTCCGTATGTTCAATGGTGTCACATAATTTAGCGGATCAACCCGGGTCTGGTGTTCCGAAAGCATGCTGATCAGAGCCGAGGCGATATTGAAACGCGTCGCTTGCCAAGTCGTTTTACCTGGGTAGACACACGTCAGTGAGCTGTTCCCATTAGGAAGAGACATGCTACCAATTAGCACGGTAGATGGATAAGGCTTTTGTCTTTAATGAACTTCAATGAGTCAAGTTTTAACATTCTACTGAGAGCAACCAGAACAAGAACCAACATTTAAAAGCGCTGCTTACAGCATTAATATCTTCCATTGATTGTTGGGTTACGGTGTAGGTACCAGATCTGCTCAGGTGGTCAGACGTCTTATGACGTCACTATATGCCAACGCCACAGGACAAACTGTAATGAACCTATTTCTCAAGAATCAGATCTCTCCTGGAGTCTAAACATATTTGCACATATTTGCTATTATTTTCAGTTTCATCAACGATCTAAAGTAGCCGAAAGTTGAAAACAATCCTTCTCAGTCTTGAAGGAAAGTACTGCCCTCTAAGACAGACATATCTGCCATTTACCAAGGTGACACAAAACATCTCAGTGGTTCCTCTTATTCTTTTTATCAAGATCTGAGGGCAGTGCAGGAAAAATGGAGGACAGATTTAGACAAAGAAAACAACAGTTAGTTCTCTTTTGGGAAACAAACTGTTGTTGTTGACACAAGTTATAAGCAGTGTAGCTCAAGATGGCTAACAGACTGAGCTAAAAGAGGCTGGCCTGTTAGCTACTGAACACAGCTTCTCAGCTTTCATCCCTTTATATCGCCGTCTTGCAATTACACTGTTCAGCATAAACATATTTTTTTAGCTTTGTTATCAATTATCGATCACTAGACATGCTAACGCTACAGATGCTCCCATCTCGGCACACGGACACTGGATTGTTATTATCGTTGTCTGGGCGACCAAAATGTTTTAAGTCATGTGGCGACATTCAGCCAATCATATAGCGTAACATCGCTGGCATGCACAGGGCCCGAGCAGATCTGGTACCTTCAACTGTAAAAACTGAGAGCTGTAGCATAGTTAGCATCAACTTCACTGGAACCAAGTGGGAACCAGTCTGACAGTATGTCACAGCGACATACCCTTTCCTTTAATTATAGGAATACATCTCTTTCTTTCAACAGATTTTCTTTGTCTTTGTTTTTTCAGTAACGTAACATGTTTCTGTTTTCTTATATATTCTAAACAAGTTTTTAAATGTATGATAAAACCTTTATTCAGTCTCTATTTTTTTATCATTATCAATTAATTGTTAAAATATAACAATGTAGTTGTAATACAAATTTGTAAGAAAAATATTTTAAACCTCAATGTTATGGAAAGATCATCTTGATACAAGTAAAATATGGTGTTTTAGAAAATCTATTTTAGGTTAATTCATTAATTGATTATTATTATTGGATTGTTATTGTGGGAGTTTTGGCCTAGTGGTTAGAGCAGTGTAGTGCAAGTACCGGTTCGATCTCCAAAGCCTGCACTCTGGGTCTCTGAGCAAAGACCCTTAACCCCACACTGCTCCCCGGGCGCCGCACAATGGCAGCCCACTGCTCTCTAAAGGGATGGGTTAAATGCAGAGGTGAGTTTCTCCATTGTGAGACATATAAAGTTCTATTAGTGCGTTATTCAGTAAGGCTCGACTTGAGATATCCACTTTCATCCAACATTTTTCTTATTAAATGCTGCATCATCTTTTCTATTTTTAAAAGAATATTAGATATTTTCTTTACATATTTGGTTTTTAAGTCACCTGAGCTGAAATACCTTTAACCCTTTAACTGCGTGGTCAACTAAATGGTTAAACATTTTCCCAGCACAATGCAGGCTGGAGAAGGAAAATGCTGGTAAAGGGTTAAAAGCTTTACCAGCATTTCTGTTGTATAACAGCAGATGAGTTAGTGTTTCACTTTAACTGAGGAATGTTTCAGACTTCTGTAGATGACTTTGAAGTTTCTCAATTGAAAAAAAAGAGTCTGTTGATCCGGTTGCATGATTGAATGCTTGCATTTCATCCTTCGTTGGTCCAGGTGCAGCGGTAGTCGAATGTGTGTGTGTGTCTGTCAGCTGTCCTCTTGGAGTGTGAAACATCCTTTTGAAGTAAAAGAGAAAATTTACAGCTGCTTTCATCCTCTGCCATCCAATGCAGGGACTGAGAGCTTGGCTGTCGTCAGCTTCATCAGCTGTCTGTCAGCTTCTTCTCTTCTCTCCTGCTCTCCTTCTCCTCCTGGCTTTGTAGAGAAGTCCTTCTGAGGTTTTAATTTACTTATTATTACAGGAAATAAATGACGGTGTGTGTGGAATAGAGCTGTGGGATGATACAGTCGTTGCCTCAGTGGAGGGATAATGCTGGATCCCTTGTTAAGAAGCAGATAGTGGATGTATTAAGAAAAACTGTAACTAAGGAGCTGTGCTTACTTAGACATTAGCTTACATTTCTGACTCAGAGATAAAATATGTTATGATACAAAGTTAAATTAAGAAGCTTGATCAGATTTCTTAGTCATATACTTATTAATATTTAAGCAATAAAAATCAAGTGTAACAGGAGGAATGTCTGTGATATTAGTAGTAATCATTGTCTGTTGTTTTGCTTTACTCTTCCTTTCTCCCTTCTTCACATTTTTTCCTCTATCATCACTTTTTTTCTTCCCTCGCTTTAACTCTTCTTTCAGTCTTCTTGTTCTTTTCTCATCTCCCCTCCCATTAATCTCCTATTTTTCTTAAACAAAGACACAAAATACTGAAATTATCCTCAAATAACATTAGTAAGGAAGCCTAGATACTCAGCAGCTTTTTCAGGGTGGTTTTCTAGTTAATTTTCTCATTATCTGTAAAGTGCCTTGAAATGACATGTGTTGTGAATTTGCGCTATATAAATAAACTGAATTGAAATTGAATTGAATTATCTAAATATAACGAAAGCAGTTATCTCATTATAATGAGATGATTGGTGTGTGTTAAAACTGATTACATCCTTCAATGCTACAACATTGGGAGATGATTTATAAATATAGGTCATGGCAGCCTATGTGAAATAATTCTGCAAATAATCCTGTATTGAACATTTAGGTAACGAGACGACGTTGTTACTTTCATTCTTCTGATTCATAAGCCTTCGTCACTCAATTCATAACTTCCTTTTTTATTCAATGAAACTTTCATTTTTCTAAACTAAGTAAACAGACACTTCATCTTAGTCAATTGAAATTACTAATAAATTGCGCAAACTACATATAAGTAACTCTAAAAATACAAATTAAAGACCAGCAGTCAATTTTAAAACATCTATTTGGATATACTAGTGAAGACTCTCAGGCATCCAGGTCATGTTCATTTCAACAAAGTTAAAAAAGTTTTTAAAAAAAACAACCACTGGACTTTGTTTTCCAAGTTTGAAGATGTTTAGCTTCTCATTCAGGAATCTTTCAGAGGTATAGACCAGTATGGGGTTTCACAGGCCAACAAAGACCTCAACGACCTCCCATTACTAAGGGGCGGAGCTTTTCTTCCGGTTCTATTTGCAAGTCTTCTAAGCCATAACAAGGCTTTTGTTTGGGTCACCCTATAAGTCTTGAACTCAATGCTACTCCTGACGTTTTGAACTGAGAAAGCTTCCTGGATGGGAAGCAAAACGTCTTCAAACTTTTAAGACAAAGTCCAGTGGGTTTAAAAAAAAAACTTTTTTATCTTTGTTGGAATCTATTTGGATGATTTCTTGATGACACTGATGGCAGCTCTTCACATTTTTTCTTTTCTAATATCCTGTTATGTTTGTTAGGAATCATTATTGACAATGATGTGTGAGTCTGATAAACCCTGATAATACCTGCCTGTTGCGTGTCAGAACTAATGTTTTCCCAAGTAGTTTATCTAATTAGGACGGTTCCTCTGTTAGGATAACAGCTCATCTTCATTATTTGCATAACAGAGATTGGAGAATGAAATGGAGGCACAGACAGAGTGGATCGTTCTTTACATAGTTCTCTGTGTTTTTATCTGAGATGCTTTGTTACTCTTTGATTATGGCTGGAGCGAGGGATGTGTCCTAATTTATAAACATGTAACAAAGAATGTGTTATATTTCCTGCAGCTGTTTGAATGGACAGACAGGCAGGCAGACAGACAGACAGAGAGGCAGATAGACAGTCAGGCGGACAGACAGATGGACAGGCGGACAGTCAGGCGGACAGACAGATGGACAGGCGGACAGGCAGGCGGACAGACAGTCAGGCGGACAGACAGATGGACAGGCGGACAGGCAGGCGGACAGACAGTCAGGCGGACAGACAGATGGACAAGCGGACAGGCAGACAGGCAGGCGGACAGACAGTCAGCGGACAGACAGACATACAGGCGGACAGACAGACAGGTGGACAGACAGTCAGGCGAGCAGACAGGCGGGCAGGCAGACAGGCGGACAGACAGACAGGCGGAGAGACAGTCAGGCGGACAGACAGTCAGGTGGACAGACAGGCGGACAGACAGTCAGGTGGACAGACAGACGGACAGGCGGACAGACAGTGAGGCGAGCAGACAGGTGGGCAGGCAGGCGGACAGATAGTCAGGCGAACAAACAGACAGACAGGCAGGCGGACAGACAGTCAGGCGGAGAGACAGATGGACAGACATAGAGGCGAACAGACAGACAGGCGGACAGACAGTCAGGCGGAGAGACAGATGGACAGACATAGAGGCGAACAGACAGACAGGCGGACAGACAGTCAGGCGGAGAGACAGATGGACAGACATAGAGGCGAACAGACAGACAGGCGGACAGACAGTCAGGCGGAGAGACAGATGGACAGACATAGAGGCGAACAGACAGACAGGCGGACAGACAGTCAGGCGGAGAGACAGATGGACAGACATAGAGGTGAACAGACAGACAGGTGGACAGACAGTCATTTATCATTAGGATATTAAAAAGTTTTGAAAATGATGAATTTTAGTTTTCTCCTGTGAAAACCTCGTGAATTTTGCTTCTGGGTTCCTGGTCATTTATTGTCTCCTGGTGAATTCCCATGTTGGGGGAGTTCTGACAGATAATCCATGCATGTTTGCCTGTTTGTCTTGTAATGCAAGCCTTGGCTCCTGTCGCTCTCCGCAGTTTGAGGTTGAGCTGAGGTCTGGTTTTGATTGAGGCTACATGATGTCAGGCCTACTTGGAATCTGAACCAATAACCATAATAGGCCTGTGTGTGCGTTGGGCTTTCTGTTTGTGTGTGTTTAGTAACAAAGCAGACATGCAGAAAGAGGAAAAGAACGGCCGGGTGAAAACAGCTCCTCTTCGTCACCGCTGATCCCCTACAGACTCGTTTTTCTTTTGAAGAAGTTCTCATTAAAGTGCAGCTCGACTGCCAGCAAGGCTGACATCACTCCACCTGGTTCGGCTCTTCTCCTCCGCCGTCGGCCTCACGAGAAACTGCTGAACCAAGTTCTTCTGCAGCGAAAACTGACTGTGACTGCAAGGGGATCACACCGCTGACCTGCAGCCAAATGGGACAGGAAACAGAGGGGGGAGAAAAACAGCCAGACAAAGGGGGAAGGGGGCAACAGAGGGGAGAGCTGGGCTGGGATCTGAGAGAGCAAATGGAAACCAGAGGAACAAGAAAGTAGAAAAATGAACGATGAGGAAAAGATCTTTAAATGGCAGAGAAACAACAAAACAAAGAGACCAACAGTTATCCAAGCAAATCCATAAATCACGTAAAATGACCTGTCAAAACCAAGAGCCGTCTAAAAAAAACTCACCCATGAATTAAACAAAGTCTGTTGAGCACATTTCATCCTGAAATATATTAATATCCAATTCAAGATGTTGGGAAGAAATAATTCTAGAAATAAGTCAATATTTCTGGATTATTAATCTATTAGGATTAAAGAACGTAGCTTCAATCAGCTGTTATTTTCATCTAAGGGATGAATAGCAGCTGGGATCCCTGTTAATTCAGACCCTCGGCCTCGACAAGCTGCCATGCATCCTCAAAGCTCGACCTTTTTTCCACAGGAAAACAAAAAGCAGCCTTTGACCAATTCTTAGATTTGAAAAGCAGTTCTGGTGGGAAGTGAACCCACCATCAGGGAGGCTCTCTGTGGATTCTGATCCATTATCGTTGCAAACACAAAAACATGCTTTATAATTCAATTCCATCTAGTTTATTTATATAGCACCAACTCACAACACGTCATCGTGTCTCTGATTCAAAGTTTTTTATCTAAGGAAAACCAGTTGATTGCATCGACTCATTGACTCGAAGGCAATCCCTCACTTTAAGCATGCTTGTAGCGACAGTGGAGAAGAAAAACTCATTTTTAACAGGAATCAGAAAGAAAACTTTCAATGTAGGAATGAAAATAAAAAAAAACATGAAAGCAACTTTGTTCTTTTTATTTTTATAACTCCATATAAAGCTTTGAACTCAACGCTATTTCTGACATTTTTATTCAAAGAAGCTTCCTGGATGGGAAGCGAAACATCTTAAAAATTGGAAACAAAGTCAAGTGGATTTTTTTTTTTAGGTTCTATTTCTGATGAGCCGCAGCAGTGATCTCCCACCTCTAGGGGGACAAACTATGAGCCAGTTGGAGCAGTAATATAGTTTAGGTTCCTGATTTCAGCAGGTTAGAAACTTTCACTTTATTAAAACCTTTTCATCCTAGAAAATCAACGTTTCCCTTGGTTCTGAGATTCTTAGGGCTTATATGTTCCATTATTGGTTTTCTTTGCTTCTTTAGTGCTGCTGTCCAAACTTACACACCACAGCGACTTTAACCCCTGACCTTTGAACTCTGGCCTCTGCTAGTTAGAGGTTCAGGCATGTCTTATGTTCTAGTATTTTCCCTATAACTAAATGTTGTGAAGGCCAGCAGGAGGTTCTTTGGTTCTTCCAGCCTGGAGCCTCCTGACTAAGATTTGAAAGACTCACAGTCAGATTATTATCTCACCATATCTGACCCATCTCTCCTTCCTGTTTGAATCTAATCTGACGTTCTGCAGCGTTGCTAGTTTCCTGTTCACGCTTCTTCTTCAGTCTGAAGGTTTTGTAGGTGCCTGCAGCTCAGAGGTGGACGTCCAGGCAGTGATGTAGAAATGAAACTAAACGTCATCTCCTATTAACACAGGCTGAGATGGGGTTCTGGATTCGCTCTTATTGAGTTTACTGATTTTTCCTGACATTCCTGATTAGTCAAAGTCCAAGCAGCTGCTCCTCCATCATCCAACCCTCAGGGGCATGGATCAGTGTTTTCTCTCAGCTCACCCGTATGTGTGTTTGCAGGACTACCTGGGCTGCATCATCGACTGCGGCGCCCTGCCACTGAAACCAGAGCAGGTCAGCACGCTGTTCTGCAACATCGAGGACATCTACGAGTTCAACAGGTGGGTTACACTCTAAAGGCTGATTTATACTCAGTAACCAGGTCGTCTGTGTGTGGGTCGCAGTGAACGTAATTGTGCCTCCGCCCCCTTCCGCAGACACTCTGCTGCAACTCTCCAAAATTGTAGGTGACCGCAGACAGGAGGCCTCTGATTGGTCAAATTTACATCCGCTATACACTATTTCCTGTTTGGTACCTTACCGGCTTGTTTTGTTTGTATGACCATTGTTGAAAACGACTCATGAAGATGTGAGGTGCACGAGAACGCTGGGATCCTTTTTCCACCTCGATCCCTGTTGTTTTTTGTTGTTTTTTGTTTTGTTTCATGTCCCTCCGTTTTCGCACAATCTTGCGCCCACTTCATCCACGCCTCGGCTGTATCTAGACTCACAGCTAGTTCCTGATTGGCCCTCTTGCGTGGAATAACCACGATTCAATATCGGGCATAAATCACTGTTTCTCTGCTGAAGTCACAGCTTTAATTTCCCAGCAGTGATCCCCATGAATTTATGGGTTAAATGCTTCTGATGACTCACAGCTTTTAACATCTCATTGTCTTCTGTTTAGATGTGAATCAGCTGATTATTTAGCAGACAAAAAATACTGCAAAAAAAGAAGCAACACCTGTTAGTCCTTTAAATACAAACCTGTTTAGGTGCTGAAGCGCTCAGAGCAGTTTGCTGCTACAGAGCAGCATTAATCAGCAGGGCTCCCAACGGTGAAAATCTGAATATTTCCCAGAAACGGTGTCAGTAGAGCTGAAAGGATCCAAACCCAACAGATGTTTGTGCTTCTGTTGGGTTTCTGATCCTTGGGAAGCCAAGGATCAGAAAAATGAAATAAGTAAATGAGTTTTTAATTGTCATGGTGTTATTAGGCAGGCTTGAAGGTTCTCTCAGTAATGTTTAGTATCAACCCCATATGAGAGGATTCAAAAACCTTTTGTGGATGTAAAGGTTGAAACTACTGTACTGTAACCATGGAAGTTTAGTTTTCTTAATCAGGAGTAGAAATAAATGTTTTTTTCTTATGCCATTTTTCAACAAATATATCTGCACCAGTGATAAGTTTTATCACCTAAATGCCACACTGCAAATAGTGTAATATAATTCTTTTTTTTTTAAGTGCATTTTTCCTTGATTTGCATTGAGCAATGAAGAAAATTTACCAATGTAAAAAGACAGTTTACATTTTATTTTAAGTATATCTATTTAACTAAAAGGAAAAAAAAAAATTTACTTTTTCAACATTAGGACAAATACACTAATTTTAGGAAAACCTTAATTTATTTTTAGACATTTCTGTGCAGTCGAGGCTTTTCCTTCTGCCCCCGTAAAGAGCCGGAATATATTAATATTTAAAGCAAATGGAAAAGAGGGGAATGCTGGACTCATAGGAAAAGTTTTTATGATGGAGAATATCAATGATTTTTTTATTTTTAATTAATAATCAAATATTAGTCACCCCTGATTTTATTTCAGTAATATATTTTATTCTTATTCTGGAAAAAAAAAATGTAAAATATAAAAATGTAACTCAACTGTTGTGTGTAATCTTGGTTTCTGTCCAAAGTTGGAACCGTACATACATATATGTAAGCAGAGTGGGAGTAAACCGTATACATTTACATATATGATGCCAGCTCAGAGTCTATGGGTAGTCCTGTAATCAGTGGGCACCCGGTTCAATTTCCTGCTCCATCTGTCTCTATTGTTGTGTCCCTGAGCAAGGCACTTCACCTGACGTGCACTGGAAAAATTATCTATAAATAATTAACTGGAAAAAATTGAAATCTAGACAAGTCATTTTTTCTTGAAATAAGTGCATTTGTTCTTGGATTGAGGAGGTTAAAGAGACATTTTGCCAATGGAACAAGACAATTTGCACTTAAAATAAGAAAACACAATTGATTTGTCTTATTTTAAGTGCATATTATCTAAACATCTTATTTTAAGAGTAAAAATACTCATTCCATTGGCAAACCATATCATTTACCTACTCAAATTGGGAGCAAATACACTTAATTTTAGGCATTTTTACTTATTTCTAGATTGTTTTTCCAGTGTATTTGAATAGGTAAATGAGATAATTTGCCTTCTTATTTTAAATCTAAATTGTCTTGTTCCATTGGCAAAATGCCTCCTTTATCTCCTCACTTCAACAACAAATGCACTTATTTAAAAAAAAAAAAAAAAAAAAAAAAAGAGTTGTCTTGATTTAGATTTTAGCATGGTTTCTATCAGTGTGCCTCGGGGCAGCTGTACACTGCAAAAACAATCCAGAAATAAGTAAAAAATGGCTTAAATTAAGTATATTTAGCCTTAATTTGAGCAGGTAAATAAGATGATTTGCCAATGGAATGAGTATTTTTACTCTTAAAATAAGATAGTTAGATAATATTTACTTGAAATAAGACGATAAAATAGTTGTTTCTTATTTTAAAAGGAAATTGTCTTTTTCCATTGGCAAAGTGTCTTACTTACCTCCTCAAATCCAGGAAAAACCCACTTATTTTAAGAAAAAATAACTTATTGAGATTTCTATTTGTTGCAGTGTAGGTACAGTGTAGCTCATCACCATCGGTTTGTGAATGACTATACATGTAAAGGCCATGAACCAGGAGTATAAAATCACTTTCTACCCTGTATCCAGGTTGAATTAACTGTCCCCCATTTAAAGGCTGATGGTTTATAGATATCAGACTGGGACGGAGAGCTTCCCCACCAGCTGGTCTCCACAAAGATACTACACTAGAAAAATGATCTAGAAATAAGTAAAGATTTCTTAAATTAAGTGTATTTACCATTAATTTGAGTAGGTAAATGAGATATTTTGCCAATGGAATGAGTATTTTTAATCTTAAAATAAGATATTTAGATCATATGCACATGAAATAAGACAATGAAGTTGTGTTTTCTTATTTTAAGTGTAACTTGTGTTATTCCATAAGTAAGATGTCTCTTTTACCTCCTCAATCCAAGAAGAAATGCGCTTATTTTAAGAAACCCTCCTATCGTCCTCAAATATAGTAACAAATTTGGTCCTTGGGGTCAATTTGACCCCAGGGATATTTACCTCCAGAAAATGATTTACAGAATATTGTTGACCAAGTTTTTGTGACAGGCACTTTGTTTATTTGTTGAATACATAAATAACCCCTTGAAAATCAGTGAGTTGACCTTCCCTCTAGCGCCACCATCAGGCCAAACCTTTAAATGAAAATTAGTTTATTTTGATTTTTTTATACAAATCTTCTCAAATTTACAGGTTTTGAGCACATTCATGACTCTCACCAAATGAACCATATTGATTAATGTTGGTGACTCCCCCTTTCCTCTCATAAACATATTTATTTACTTATTTTTATCTATTTTGTTGTAATATATTTGTTGCTAGTTACTGTAGGATCTTACTCACCCCTCCTCTTTTGTTATGGGACCGGCAGTGGCAGAGTTATAGAGTTTTTTTGTTTGTTTTTGTTTTTTTATGATTTTTTTTGGTTGTTTTTTCTGTTTTTTTTTTTTTTATTCATTTGTGTGACAGAAAATGGATAATGAGAACATGCCACGTAGTAGTTAGAACATGGAACAGTTTTTAGAGAGAAACAACATGAAAATCCACCCATTTTGAACAGTGTGATAATGTCAGTAGCTAAAACGTGGAACAGTTCATGCCACAGTAGCCAAGCGTTTAGTCTGCACTACTGTACACAGGATGTGCAGAGTGTGTGTGCATGCTCCTTGCAGACATACTTTTTGCATTTTGAACAGGTCATGCTGGTCTTGCAGTCGTTTCGGGTGGGACAGACCTGACACCTGCCACGTTTCTTGCCTGCAGTTTGTGCCACTGGAGGAGTTGGGGTGTTTTTCTCCCTCTGTATGTCCCTCACAATAGCTGCAGCAACTGGTGATGCTCTTGGAAGGCTCTGTCTTCTCTCAATTTGAGGCCTGACCAGTGCATTGCCAAGCTCCTCCAGGAAAATCCTCCTTCGGCTGAGATTTCCCCTATTCCAGTCTTTGTTTATCTCACACCAAATCACGAACGCATTATATGCACTCACATCAATGATGTGGAAGAAGATGACAAGGGGCCAATGGGCAGTCATGCGTCGACAGCTGTATGTGGCTGTGACCTTGTCTAAATTGTCCACCCCTCCCTTTGTTTCATTGTAGTCCTGCACCATTTGTGGCTTTTTGTCTTCTCTGCTGCTCAGGGCAGCATCTTTGTGCATGGTGCTGAGCAGCAGGACATTTTTCCCTTTCTTGGGACAGTAGGAGACCAGAGTTGCTTTCTCAGTGAAGGCAAACATGGAAGATGTTACCTTCCTGCTCTTGACAGAAAGGAGTTCAGAGGGAAGCTCTGGCTTGTTCTTTCTCACCGTCCCCAACATTGTAACCTGCCTTTTGAGCAGTTCCTCACCCAGGGCGTAAGACGTGAAAAAATTATCACATGTAATATTATGCCCATGCAGTCCTTCAGCCATATCAAGCACAACCCTTGTGCCCTGATTTTTTTCTGGTGCTTCGCCACACGTGTACACCTGCATTTTCCAGGCAAAGCTGGACTGTGCATCACATGCTGCCCATATTTTGATGCCATATTTAGCAGGTTTGCTAGGCATATACTGTCTGAATGGGCAGCGCCCACGAAAAGCAACCAGGCACTCATCGACAGTCACGTGAGCTCCTGGATTATAAAGCAGTGGTAAACGCTGCACCCACTTGTCCCACACATCCCTTACTTCAGCAAGTTTGTCACGTTCTCGACGGCCCTGCCTTGTTTGTTTGTCATCAAAGCGTATGACACGAGACAAAATGTGGAATGCCTTCAGAGACATGGTGGCTGGAAATATTGCCCTTCGAGTCTCAGCATTCCAAAGACTTGCTGTTGCTTCACCTTTTGACTTATAAACTCCTGCCAAAATTAGCAAGCCAATGTAGGCTTCCAAGTCAACTACATCCAAGTCTTTCCAACTGTCCCCATAAACACGCTTTCCCTCTA